GAGATAACACAATGTGGAGCTGGAGGAACACAGCAGCCAGCAGCATCAGAGGAGCAGGAAAGTTGACCTTTCGGGTCAGGACCCGAATGTCAACTTTCCTGCTCCTCTGATGCTGCCTGGCCTGCTGTGTTCTTCCAGCTCCACACTAGCTTAACATCTGACCTTGTTAGACCATATTATAAAGGACACAATAGCAGAACATTTAGAGGTACATAATGTAATCAAGCAGACTCAACATGGCTTCATAAAGGGAAAATAATGTCTTGACTAATTTCTTAGAATTCTTTGAGAACGTAATAAACAAGATAGATAGAGGGGAACCATTAGATATAATGTATTTGGATTTCCAAAAGGCATTCAATAAGACTCCATTAGTAAGGCTACTGAATAAGATAAAACCCCATGTTGTTTGTTGCAGTACATTCGCATGGATAGAGCTTGGTTAACTAATAGAAGACAAGGACCAAAATCTTACCATGGCCTGGACAATAGTGAAAAATTTGGCTGAATTGTCTGAAAAGTCCAACAATACCTATCTCAATGTCAGGAACAACTGACTGCATTTTTAAACTAAATTTTGGGTGTCAAAACGAGAAATTTACTAGGGAATAGTGAGTTGCAAATTATGGAGGATTATTCCTTGTTAACTCTATAATTTGCCTCCTCCTTGATATTGTAAGTCAGAATAGGTATTTGGTGATTTCACCTTGCTGCTGGCTGCGAAGAGCCTCCATTTTGCTCACTGCTCAACAACGGCAGACAGCCCTCACTCAAAGTTCCCTGTAAACTGTGCACATGCTCCATGTGGGCATCAGGTGGCATGTCAGTGCTATTCCTAGTGTTGACTTCCGATTTCAGATGTTGCTGCCACTGATGGACTGTGGAGGTTCATGCAGAAAAAGACTTTTTAATAAAAAAAAGAGGAAATGTAGCCATCATCCATGGACGTTTGACATCTGATGTTTATCATCTCCTCAAGAACCTCCTGGTATTGTGGGGCACGTTAGTGACTGGCACTGAAAGGCTGTTGCAAGGACACTTTGCATACATGAACAGGCAGCCAGCACATGGATTGGACCAGGTTGTGTTTCAGGGCTGCTCGTTTGCTCTTTTAGTGCTCGCTCTTTAGTGCTCACTCATTTAGCATCTGTCTGCATACTTACAGAATCCCCTACCTTGCCGTAGCTACTCATATAGCCACACATCCAGGAAGCTTGCCTTGAAGAGGGCATACGTCTTGCTGTATGGCAAAATGCTAGGTCAAGCTTGCAGCTCCACCATGTACCAACAGCTTACACAGCAGATATGCTGCAAAATACCACGCTCAGTCCATGGAGGCATTGATCAGCCGGGGCTGCAGCACAGTAGGTCAAGAGCAGCCTCCAGTCCAGGGAATGGGCCATAGTACGGCATCTGATAGGGGTGTTTTCAGTCAGAGGGTCCATGCCTCTGCATTGGGGAGTGATTAATGGTAAGATCTATGGCCCCATAGCAGCCAGTATGATTAATGCAGTCGGGCGGATATACAGGCATCAGTTATGGGTCCAAGCACTTCTTGTCCAGGGCTAAATAAAAACCGAAAGAACTACGGATGCTGTAAATTGGGAACAAAATCAGAAGTTGCTGGAAAAACTCAGCAGATCTGGCAGCATTTGTGAAGGGAAAAACAGGTCGGAGAGAGGAGCAGAACTTCTTCAGGGTGGGCATGCCTAGAAGAGATGTGGCAGTGAGTTAAATACTAAATAAAAACTGAAAGAACTACGGATGCTGTAAGTCGGGAACAAAAACGGAAGCTGCTGGAAAAATTCAGCAGATCTGGCAGCATCTGTGAAGGAAAAAACAGGAAGGGCCACCAGACCCGAAACGTTAACTCTGTCCTTCCCTTCACAGATGCTGCCAGATCTGCTGAGCTTTGCCAGCAACTTCTGTTTTTGTTCTTGTCCAGGGCTGTCCGGTTAGGTTGCTAACGTGTTCTAGTCAGTCTGTCTAGTCTATCCAGTGAAACCTAGAGGGAAGGAAGTTATGGGATAAGGGAACTGTTGCCATGGAAAGGAGAGTTGGGAATAAATTTGCAAGGATTGAAGGCTGCAGAATGGGGGGGAACGGGGTAGAATGATAGTTTTGAAGGAGAAATTATGTATTTGTAAGATGGGGAAACATGATAAAGTATTGATGGGAATGGGAATGGGACTTGGGAGGGTGTTTCATCCACAGTCAGGAGCACCCTGGCTTCAAGTGGAGGGGCCAGGGACAGTGTATGACCACATCTGACATGGTAAACTGATATGCCAGGAGCTTGGAGAGTGGGGGAGGGGTGCAAAGTAGGTGCAGGCTCATATAGACAGGTTGTATGGAGACCTGGGGAGGTGCTAAGCCGAGGAGGTTCTCAAGAACGGATATCAAGAAGGAAATCTAGATGTTTGGGCCTTATTGACATGTACAGGCAGAGACTAGAAACCACTGCCAGAAGACCACTCGCTATCCCTTTCCATTATGCTCGAAATTGAAACTGCACAATGGGAAAGAGAATGGCTATGACCACACCTGGTGTCTCAACCTGTGAGGGAGGAAGCTGCAGGATCCACCAGTGTGAGGCTCTTCATAGGCCCAGAAGCTTACAGACCAACCCATGTTTTGCAGAGGACCCAGGCCAGTGGGTCTTTGAATCCCTGGCGATCCTAATGTTTCGAATGCCATTGCCCTTCTGGATGCATTGTGTCTGTTCAAATCTGGTGCAGGCACCGGGGATACTGATCTTTCAGCAGATATCTGATGCGTGGCGTGTTAGTCTGGGAACAGCAAGTGGTATGTTGAACTTAGAATTGTGTGAAAAGGGGCATCATTGGTGTGGGAAAGTTATCAATGAGGCGAGTTGATGTGAATTAGTGCGTTATTTAAGTAGGCCCAGAGTGAATTGTTCTTTCCAACCAATTGCTGAAGAAATCATTTTATGTGCACAACAAAGAAGCTTAACTAACGATTTCATGTTAGAGAAAATGCCATTTTAAACAAAACAATTCTTGCATATCTTTGCATGCAGTAAAGTTTGAGAAGATCCGCAAAGTCCCACTGGAGTGGGAAATAGTTTTCATGTTACTAATTCCTCTTCTTCAAGTTTAGATGATGCTAAATCATGTTTTTGAAAGAAAACTAGTTTTCATACATCTAGAGCCGCATTATTTGAGACATCTTTTCCCTCCAGGGGACCACTTAGTTGAAATTAGCTGCAAATTCGTCATATGAAATCTTTAGCAATGACACCCATCTGATCCTGGATGAGAAGTGAACATCTTGTTTGCTGTCTAGTGCATATTTCTTTATTGACAGTGAAGTTTGGAAATCCTTCAGTCTTCATCAGATCAGGAATCAAAGGACACTTTAAAATCTACACAATTCTTTAAGAAATTCCTCACTAACATTTCTTCCAAACTAAATAAATTAAAATCTTGGGAATGCAGTTAGAGTTGGAGGCTGACTGTTTTAGAAGAGCATTGTAAGTTGTGAGCAAAAAATAAAAGCTCAGTTGGCTGCGGGCTCAGATGAAAGAGAGGCCAGCAAACTATGCATTTCCTCAGCGTGCAATGTTCCTCTGCAGCAAATGTGGCAGAAATGCCATCTCAGAATGGGTCTGCTGAGCCACATCAGGCAGTGTTAACCCAAGTTGATACTTTGGTGCAAGCCATCTTTTTATGAGATTGAAGGCTACCAAGGAGTAATTGAGCAGGATATCTTTTCAAGACTCGCCTCGATGGACAGTCCTTTATATTGATGCATCACTCTTCTTTACATACGCACTTCCCCTTTGGCACAGTACCATTTAGAGCGGTTGTAATAAAATAAATCCTTATGATATTAGGAGTCTCTTGAAAAAGACAGGGAAAAGTTGAATGCTGGAATGATCTATTGTTACGTAATCCTAAAAATTATGATAGCTAATTTGGGTTGGAATTATTTTGTTATTTAGGCAAGGGTTAAGCAACATTTTTGTTTTCATTTTGGAGGTGTTTTGTTTGCTTGGTATATATTTAGTCATTTGGTAGCATAAGACTTGAGTATTGTTGAAATGAAATACATTTTGTTGAAGCTTTCTGTCTTGCACTCATCAGGACAACTCACAAGGAAGCAAATAAAAGGGGAAAACCAACATTTATACTGCATGAGAAGAGAGTGCTGATTGGTTGGCCATTGGACGGTGCTTGGCAGAGGTGTTGTCATGGAGCATGCATCCATTACATTACTGCTGTTGGAGAGTTAATAGTCAGACTTTGTTTAAATTTTAAACCAGACATGTTGACTCTTATTGATCAAGACATTGCCATGAAAGATGAACCAGTGATTTGAATTTGTTGAATTGGAACAATGCAGTACATGTACATGTTATTTCTGTCTGGAAAGAACAGTGCTCTGTATGTTAAAGTATGTAGCTTCCAGGACAAACAAGTGTACAATGTTGCAATCGGACTAACAATCCTAAATTAGATGTCAGTGTAATTCCTCATACATTCAAGCTTATGTAGCAGATGTTATCCAATTGCAGAGTCACTTCTAATGTTGAACAGTGTTGAGAGTTTTGCAAATGTGGACTAGTTGGTACAGTCAGTATTTTGCTTGTTGCAGAAATTGTCATTTGCTGAACATCAGTAGATGATTACGTCCTGTGATAGGATTCTTGTCTAAGTGGGTCCAGAAATACGTAGGGACATGCTGTTTGAGATGATCCACCAGTCGGTGGGATGTATGGCCAATGTACCTGGCACCACATGGGCACTGAAAGTCATATACCATATTACTCATTTGTATGATAGACAGAATGTTTTTTTCATCTTGGTGGCAGCATCCTGTTCATGGTGAATGCCACGCGTTGTTGTTACATAGTAGCAGCATTAAATAGCTAGCTCCACCTAGTGCTCAAACTTTTGAGATATCTTACCTTTCCAATGTAATCTGAGGTAGACTGGGTAGTTTTCAAGATTAAAGTGATCGCCTTTGGGCCTTCCATGAGTTGCACAATAAAAGTGAGAAATGATCCAGTCAGGGTAGCCATTATCCTACAGAATGGCTTTGTGCCCCTTTCCACATCAGGTTTGTATGGTGTAATTCTGACTTATAATCTTATAGCGCATGAAACTGTAGGAATCCCAGTGCGTATGCTGACCAGTGAAGGTAGGTTTGCAATAGACAGTAGCAGAGAAATCTTTGCTGATTGCTCAGCTAGGACATCGAAGAAAAGGAACTCATTTGACTGTTCCATTTCAAATGTGAATTTGCACGTATGTTGTAGCTCATGAAGACGTGTAAGAAAATTCTTGCATGCAGTGTGGTTTCAAGTATAGTAAACACATCATCTATAAATCAGAAATATGCAAGGTGTACATAGTTAGTTATGAATTTGTGGAAGGCACATTTCTCATAGGGTCCAAGGCGGCACAGTGGCTCAGTGGTTAGCACTGTTGCCTCACAGAACCAGGGGCCTGAGTTCAGTTTCCCCTCAGGCAACTGACTGTGTGGAGTTTGCATGTTCTCCCCAAGTCTGCGTGGGTTTCCTCCGGATGCTCTGGTTTCTTCCCACAGTCCAAAGATGTGCAGAGTAGGTGGATTGGCCATGCTAAATTGCCCATAGTGCCCAGGGATGTTTAGGTTAGGTGGGTTAGACATGGGAAATGCAGGGGTGGGGGAATGGGTCTGGGTGGGATGTTCTTTGGAGGGGCGGTGTGGACTTGTTGGGCTGAATGGCCTGTTTCCACACTGTAGGGATTCTCTGATTTCTATGATGGTTTACATGAATATTAACCACTGACTCTGGCTATGTTTTAATTGCATTTCATTGCTTTTATTTTGCTAGAAAATTTGCCTTACTTTTGATCTTTGAAGAATTATACCAATTGCACCCAGTCCTATTAGTTTCAGCTTGGTATTTTATGGAGCAGTCTGAGATCAATGGCCATTCTGTCAGTTAATTGGATTTTCGTTTTGTGCTGTTGCTGAGGTGTGAGAAACCTTTGTCTTCAATGTTTTAGCCTAAAGATAAAAGGACAGAGTACAGACTAAAGCCAAAAAAAAGTCAGTTGCATTGGCGTAACTGGAGATGACTGCATATGTATAACACACAGAATTTAAGCAATCTTACAGTGTCTATTGTGCAGAAGAGCATAAACAATTGCCAGGTTGTAACAAACTTATTTTGTGTGCATTCAGGAGTATACGGAAATGGTGGCAGGCTCTTCCTCCTGAAAAACAGGAGCTACTTAAAGACTATGTGAAAAGGAACAAGTGGAGAATTCTGTTCGGCATATGTAGTCTGTCATGTTTGATTGCAATATATTTTTGGACCCACTTAGACAAGAATCCTATCACAGGACGCACTCGTCTACTGATGTTCAGCAAACGACAATTTCTGCAACTCGCTGAATTTGAGTACCAATCGGTAAGTAGGTATTCAATACAAAATATCTAAACTATATCTGTAGCCCGCGGTCTCTCAACACGAATTTATCCTGGATGACATCTTTACTTATTGTCTTTAAAAAAAAAGCATTACATTCCACTAAGTGCTTATGGTCTGTCTGTCCCAAATCTACAATATTTTATTATCTAAAACCTATATCCAAATATGTGTCATTGAAATATTCTGCATAAACATGCACTTCTCATATTAAAAATTTTTGAAAGCAGCTATTCATTTATGCCTGTGTCATAATTTCTCTCTGAACCAGTAGATGGCACTTTAATAGGCTTTCCCATAATTAATCACATACTGAATTTCAACACAGAAATGTTGATACACCTACCATTGATGACTCTGTCCAGATGCCCAAGCCTCCCTTGTTTTGTTGCCAGTTCTCTTTTATTTGCACATAAGCTCTTTATATAATTGTTTTGTACTTTCATTTTTTTGCACCTTTAATATGTTTGTTAGCAGCTCTTCATTTGCTCCTGTTATTGGCTTCCTCTGGCAGAAAGAAATCCAGCATCTTTGCTACCTCTGGTCTTTTGTGTCTGCAATGTAGTCATCCTAGGGGTTTTCAAGGTCTGTGTTACACTTTGCCGAATGTGTGTACTCCTGGATTTTTCTCATCTTTTCAGGCACTTGCCATGTCATCTGATGTTTTCTTTTGTAGCACACACACCAACCTTTTGGTTCCTGAAGCCATTTCAAGCCTCACTAAGTCACTTTTTTAAAATTTAGTTTTAGGGGTGTGATCATTGCTGGCAAGACCAGCGTTTATTGCCCAACCTCAGGTACCCTTGAGAATGTTGTAGTGAGTCACCTCCTTGAACTGCTACAGTTCATGGGAGGGTTTACGTTCACCCACAATGCTGTTCAGGAGGGAACTACAAGGTTTGGATCCAGCAACAGTGAAGGAATGATAGTATATGTCCATGTGAGGATCATGTGTAACTTGCAGGGAAAATTGCAGGTGATGGTATTCCCATCCATCTTCTGTCACTGTTCTTCTGGGTAATGGAGGCTGTGGGTTTGTAAGATGCTCTTGAAGCACCCTTGGTGAATTCTTGACCCATGTCATTTTCTTGCTGAAATAACTCCACAGAGGTTGGTACCACGTCACCATGTCACCCCTTTTTGTTTACATCTGGAGTCCTTAACACTGATCCAGCTTCCACAGAACCTGGTCTCAGATGGAGCAGAACCTCTGACACTCTTGTTTATATTAGTCGACCAGGGCTCCTTGACTGGACCAGATTAACAGCCCCAACCAGGGAACTCATTCTGTGTTGTCCACCTGGCTGACCTCATTATAATTACTACATCCCCTTCCTCTGAGTCCGAGAACATAGGCTGGTTCTTTTTTTTTGTAGATGCTGCTGAGTTGTTTTAGCACTGGTCAGGTTCCTCCAACTCTGCGTTTGATATGGGCAGCATGTAACGCACAGTAGCTTGCCACTTGGGCCCAGAGCTTCTCAGAAGAAATTCCTTCTGCTCTTCAGATGGCAAAGGTGTCGCAGCAGTGACATCCGTCATGTTTACCTTGCAATCTGAGGTATCTTCAATGCTTGATGAAGAGGGAGAACCCACAGGTTCAGGAACAGTCGGCAAGGCAGTCGAGGAGCTGAGCATGCTTTGCTCCCACACTGTGAGTTTGCAGCTTTCAAACGGTCCACATACTTGCAGCTAGCTAAATTGTATACGTCACTGGACCTGACCTTGTGTCGACCATTCCTGTTACCCATGCAGGCCATTCCCTTGGTTCCTACACCAAACTTTGTCCCCTGAAGTAAATGTCTCGCTTTGCGGAGTCTTGTGTCCGGCATTAGCGTTCCTTATATCATTTGCCCCCCTCCCCCCCCTTCTGATTTCTGCCTCTACTTTTTCCTGCAAGTCAAACGGCACTGGGCGGGCCTTGCAGAATCGTGGAATTGCTGCTTGGTCAACATGCGAGGTGGCCTTGGCTCCTTGGATAGTCCCTAGACTTTCCTGAAAAGTTTCTGAATATTTAATTAGGACTTTGCTGATGCCATTCTATCATTGCCACTAAAATAACTCCATGAAGGCCAGTATTCTGGCACCAAGTCACCCTTTACTTACATGTGAAGAGTCCTTGACACTGATCCTGTTTCCTCAGAGCCAGTTCTTGGAGTGAAAAAACTTCTGGGACTCCTGTTTATATCTGTCAGCCAGGGCTCCCTGATTGGACCAGATTAACAGTCGCAGTCAGGGAACTCATATTCTGAGCTTTACCTGGCTGACCTTGTTACAATCACTATACTTGCCTCCAGACTTGCTTTTTCTCCCAGCATTGTTTCTTGCTGCAATGCAGTAATGAAACGTTTTGTACTTCAGCCTTCCAGATCACTTGTGTGATTAATCCTTTCAGTATATCTGAATAAATGAATGCACTAATTAGCTGTATAAACTACATGATGTACTTCAGCCAATACTCTCAATCACTGCACTTTAGCTTCTTTGTAGCTTGAAAACTTTGTATATTTCTGAAATTTAGATATTATGCTTCCATATATTTCTGGATCTTCACAATTAGCCATGCTCCCTATTTTTGTATCCTGTGCAAATTGTGACGCTGTACTTCTTATTTCCCAGTTCAGTCTCAGATACATTGAAAACAACAACGCTGTGGAGCATTACTATAGTAGTAGCATCACTACTTCTATCCCTTCAGTCCAGAATCCATTCATTGACCACTGTCTTGTGGTTTGTCCCTTTGTTGTATTAGCTCCGATGAAAATTCATAAGCCCCACATTCAATGCAATTCCTTTTTAGTAGAGTGTAGGCATTCCTGAAAGAATACTCCAGATTTGTAGCACATTACTGACTTCTCTGATCCACAATAGGAAGAGGAGTGGGCCATTCAGTCACTCAAGCCTGTTTCATTATTTAATGAGGTCACGGCTGATCTGTGGCCTAACTCGAGACTACTTGTACACTTCTGTATATGGAAATCAGACTTTCTCCTGCCGTAATTTAACTAAATAAGAACAAAGTACAATTATAAGAAAAGCTTACAGACTGACAGGAGCTGCAGCCTCCAGGGTATTCAGGTTTTTGATAAGTGAAAATGAGATGATTTATGCAGTATTTTTACAGTTGGATCAATTATTTCTTCATTTACATTCCGCTAATTTACTAAACCTAATCCCTATGAGATTACTTTCCTGTTCATGCTGTATCTGCAATTATAAAAGTGCTTCTTTATTTTCATTCGTGCACTTTTAAAAAAAAATCATAAAATTCCCGTTAAAACTTTTGGAATGAGAGTAACAGTGATCAGGGTTTTTTTTGTTATATAGCAGCAAAAGGGGATAGTTTCACCTTATCTCAATTCATGTGAAATCCAGTGGATGGCCTGTGTACTGCCTACCCATTTACCCTTGCACCTACCATGTTTTACCAGCAGCAGGAGTGCCATCAGGCCAATTGAGGCCCTTAAATCAGCTTTTAATTCCCTATTAATTGCCTTCCTATTGCCACTGATACTTTACTTAGCAGTGGTAGAGTCCTATACTGACTATCCAGCCCAATATTTTTCTTTGCTGACGGTGGTGGTAAGCAGGAGGTTTCCCTGCAACTAATCCTGGCAGTTTTTTGAGGTGGGATTGCCTGACCAAGAGGGGAGAAAATCCTACCTTTACCTATAACAATCAGCCATTTAATGGTTGCATAGCAGCGTTCTGCTGGGGGAACTGTCCACCCCCAACTGAGGGGTCCTTGATACACCATCAAGTCCAGCCCATTGCCTCAAACTTTCCACTAGCAGCTACATTTTACTAAAATTAGAAAATAGAGAGGGAAAAAATACACCAAAGTTAATATATAATTGTTCCCTGTTTCGTTTCAGGATATATTTTATAGTTTTCTTCTAAATTAAGAAATATATCACCAGGCACGTGGTTTAAGGTTGAGTGTGCCATTAAGGAAAGAAATGGACATAAATGATGAGTATCAGTCAGTGTTAGTGCCAAGCTTAGTTTTGAACGGTCTGTGAGAGAACGAGAAGGCTCAGGGAATAAGGAGTTTGTTTTAAAGATATAGGAAAGAATGAATCAGTGTCGAAGGCGCTGCAAACAGTGGAAATTCAGGATAAAGGGAGAATATGTTTTGAAGCTTGGAAGGCACAAGATAGGAATATTCAGACATGGCAGTGACTATAATTGGATATATGGTAATAGATAGAAGGCCAAACAGGCTGTGATAGGAAGAGAGAAATAGAGTCATAGAGTTGTACAGCACAGAAACAGACCCTTTGCTCCAACTCGTCCATGCCGACCATTTGGCCCATATCCCTCTAAACACTTCTATTCATATACCCATCCAGATGCCCTTTAAATGTTGTAATTGTATGAGACTTCATTACATTGTCTGGCAGCTCATTCCATACACGCACCATCCTCTGTGTGAAAAAGTTGCCCCTTAGGTCCTTTCTCAATCTTTCCCCTCTCACCTTAAACCTATGTCGTCTAGTTTTGGACTGCCCTGCCCCAGGGAAAAGACCTTGGCTACTCACCCTATCCATGCCCCTCATGATTTTATAAACCTGTATAAGGTCACCCCTCAGCCTCCGCCGCTCCAGGGAAAATAGCCCCAATCTATTCAGCCTCTCCCCATAGCACAAACCCTCCAACTCTGGCAACATCTTTTAAATCTTCTCTGAATCCTTTCAAGTTTCACAATATCCTTCCTATAGGAGGAGACCAGAATTGCATGCAGTATTGCAGAAGTGGCCTAACCAGTGTCCTGTAGAGCCGCAACGTGACCTCTCAGCTCCTATATTCAATGCACTGACCAATAAAGGCAAGCGTACCAAATTCCGTCTTCAGCATTCTGTCAACCTGGGACTCCACTTTCAAGTAACTGTGACCATGCACTCCAAGGTCTCTTTGTTCAGCAACACTCTCCAGGGCCTTACTATTAAGTTTATAAGTCCTGCCCTGATTTACCTTTCCAAAATACAGCACCTCACATTTATCGAAATTAAACTCCATCTGCCACTCCTCGGCCCATTGGCCCATCTGATCAAGATCCCGTTGTACTCTGAGGTAGCCTTCTTTGCTGTCCACTACATCGCCAATTTTGGTGATATTGGCATACTTACTAACCATACCTCCTATGTTCACATCCAAATCATTTATATAAATGACAAAAAGCAGGGGACCCAGCACCGATCCTTATGGCATACCACTGTTCACGGGCCTCCAGTCTGAAAAGCAACCCTCCACCACCACCCTCTGTCTTCTACCTTTGAGCAAGCTCTGTATCCAAATGGCTAATTCTCCCTGTATTCAGTGTGATCTAACTTTGCTAACCAGTCTACCATGAGGAATCTTATCAAACGCCTTACTGAAGTCCATATAGATCACATCCACTGCTCTGCCGTCATCAGTCCTCTTTGTTACTACTTCAAAAACTCGATCAGATTAGTGAGACACGATTTTCCATGCACAAAGCCATTTTGACTATCCCTAGTCAGTCCTTGCCTTTCCAAATATATGTAAATCCTGTCTCAGGAGTCTCTGCAACAGCTTGTCCACCACTAATGTCAGGTCACAGGACCATAGTTCCCTGGCTTTTCCTTACCATCTTTCTTAAATAGAGGCACCATGTTAGCCAACCCCCAGTCTTCTGGCGCCTGACCTAATGCTATTGATGATATAAATATCTCAGCAAGGGACTCAGCAATCACTTCCCCAGCTTCCCACAGAGTACTAGGGTAAAGCTGAATATCAAAGGTTAGATTTGAAAACAGATTTATTTTCTTCATAACTAAATTATGTTTTATGTTACGTTCAAAAAATGAACCAAACTTCTTCTGGTCATTGAATTTTGTATTCTGAAATAAGAACAGAAAATGTTGGAAATATTCTACTAGTCAGGCAGCATTTATGCAGACAGAGATAAAAATGGCCTTTAAACTGAATGATTTACTCTGTTTTCTCCTTCCACAGATGTTTTTTGACTTAATGAGTACAACTTAATTGTTATTAAAATTTGATGGAGTCAGTTGCAATTAGCTGGCTTTTGACTCTTAAAGGTATTTCCAAATTGGTTAAACGTTGAAAACTCAAATTTCAATACCTCGTACTTCTGGCAGTTTTCACTTGGATTTTAGTTTACTGTTTCTCATCAAAGCAAAATCTTCATTGTGCCTAAGTGAGGACACTACCCCGTTTCTAATTATTTTCTCTACATCATGAGAATGCTGGGTAGCCACAAGGCTGAGATTAGGAATTCAGAAATCCAACAAGTGCATCCTTGCTGCTCGCAAAGACATTGCCAAATTAACAAATTCATGAACTAGTAGTGTGCCACTGTAATTTTTATTTTATAGCTGTGTATGGTGTATTTGTAAAGGTTCCTTTGCTGAGACTAATAACATTAAAATATACATTTTCAGTGGAATTAGAAAAAATGCAACTTCAGAAACTTTCAGTTTAGTTCTCAATAGCCGCATTGAGTTTACAATTTTTGCCCTAGAGAGTCTGCACGAATTTCACAATGTGCTCTTTCGAAATCTGAAGATTACCTGACCTTATTTTGCTGTAATGAAAGCAGAAAATGCTGGAAATACCCAGCAGCTCTGGAGTCATATATGGAGTTAATGTTTTGATTTGAATATGACTCTTCTGAAACTTGAAGAAGAATCATTTTTACCTTGAAAAGTTAAGTTTCTGCCCTTACAGATGCTGCCGCACTTGCTGAGTACTTATCAGTAATTTCTGTTTTTATTTCCAATTTTCAGCATTTGCAGAATTTTGTTTTTAACTCTGAACTTGGTTTAGAATCATTTTGGGTCTTTCAACCTTCCCTGAATTTGGCAATGATGTTGGAGGACTGCAGAATTACAAATATTATGTCTTGTTCAAAAAGTCAGAATTCATGTGACACCAGGTCCAACAGGTTTGTTTGAAAGCTCAAGCTTTTGGAGCATTGCCCCTTTGTCAACTAAAGTTCCATGTACCAGCATTTGACCCGTATCCCTCTAAACCCTTCCTATTCATGTACCCATCCAGATGCCCTTTAAATGTTGTAATTGTACCAGACTCCTCCACTTCCTCTCGCAGTTCATTCCATATACACACCACCCTCTGCATGAAAAAGTTGCCCCTTAGGTCCCTTTTACATCTCTCTACTCTCACGTTAAACCTATGCCCTCTAGTTTTGGACTGTCCCTCCTTGAGGAAAAGACCTTGGCTATTCACCCTATCCATGCCATTCCTGATTTTATAAACCTCTGTAAGGTCACCCCTCAGCCTCCAATGCTCTAGGGAAAATAGCCCCAATCTATTCAGCCTCTCCCCATAGCACAACCCCTCCAACTCAGGTAACATCCTTTAAATCTTTGCTGAATCCTTTCAAGTTTCACAATATCCTTCCTATAGGAGGGGGACCAAAATTGCGTGCAGTATTCCAAACGTGGCCTAACCAGTGATCTGTACAGCCACAGCATGACCTCCCAATTCCCATACTCAATGCACTGACCAATAAAGGCAAGCATACCAAACACCTTCCTCACTATCCTATCTACCTGTGCCCCCACGTTCAAGGAACTATGAACTTGCAGTCCAAGGTCTCTTTGTTCAGTAACACTCCCCAGGACCTATCATTAAGTTTATAAGTCCTGCCCTGATTTGCCTTTCCAAAATGCAGCACCTCACATTTATCTAAATTAAAATTTCAGCAAAAAATACATCCACACTTTCAAGACTATCAAATGGCAATGATTATTCTTTGCAATTCTGAAAACTGTATATCTTAATAAAAGCTACAAATTCAGAAGAATTTTCTGTTTGAAACACTGTCTAAAGAATTTCTTCCCCATATATTTGTATGTAAAACCAGGACACTGAGCAGCAATACACTTATGATTATATGTTGTACATCAGAAATAATTTGCTGCATAAATGGATTGATAAACCTTAAGTTCACCAAATAATAGCTTGTCAGACTGTCAGGTTGTGTGTAGAACAAATGCACTTAACTCACCACAAAGCATTAGTAAAATGTAGCACCTTTATTCTGTTGTTTACTTGTTGGAGCAGGAATCAAATTTAGCAAAATGTAAGGATGATAACAAAACCATTCAGCAACTTGTGAAATGATATTTGACATGACTAAAAAAATCTGACAATTAGTGTTGGAAAAATGAGACCGATATAAAGCACTCGTAATTTTTAATAAAAGAGGATAAGACTGGTTATGATTAAACTGAATGATGCAAATTCTTCCTTCACAAATTCATCTTTTTGCAAAGTATACAGAGAAAGATATAAACCTTTTATAAATAACTCATTTTGAGAATCTGAGGAAATGTAAGTTAATTCTAAAACATGACACTCTGCATGATTCTGTTCTCTTACACACCAACATATAGATTAGCCACTTTCTGATAAACAGTAGCACAGTGTAACTTATCAGTACAGGGGTTACTGGAGTGTGCTATGAGTGAGTACAGCTAGGTAAATTCTTACAAGGTGTATTTTAACATCACACTGTACTTCATTGTCTCAAGTGCATGAAGGACAATAATTAAATAAAGAATTTTCATTTCTACAGGGCTGATGACTCTCATTACTTCGGAGAGACCCAAAAGTGTTTACAGAGAATGAATTATTTTTGAAGTGTAGTCACTCTCGTAATGTATTGTAAAGTAACCACTCCTTACACACAGTGCTCATTTTGTATCTCAAGATACTTCAGAATACTCAGACAGTGAATAAAGGTTGCGGAGGTACCAGTCTTACAGTTATAGGGACAGAGCTTTTGAAAGGAAGGAAGAAAATGTTTTGGAGATGTTGAGGGAGGCAGTCACTGTGGACAAGGGGTACCATAGCTCATGTAGTCACTGAACCCGTGGTGCTGCCAACGTTAGATTACATGGATTTCCTACTTAGTTTGATATCCAATTGGTGGACTGGGAACTTGGAATGGAACAATGCAACTTTGATAATGCCCATTGTACATAATTTTTAAGCTTAACCATGGTGTTTTGGAAGGAAAGTGGAGGGGGAAATCATGCCTTAGCTATTCTTTCTTATTTTCCAGCGCCTGGCTTATAGTGGCTTTTTGAAAAGACAGGGGAGCAAGGCCAGCTCAGTCACGGTGTGGCCCAGGAGGTCTCACAGGCCTGGGGAGAAAAACACACACTTAATGCAGCTTAATTATCATCTTAACATTTTTGAATGAATTGTTGGATGAACTTTACCTTGAAGAATAGATGCTGAAACCATGTTTGTTTCTCATTATTTCTTTCCTCCCTCAGGTGCTGGAGAGCTACAAGGATAAAATTCTACCTGTGACTGACCCAATGTATAAAACCACTCAGTTTATTTTAAACCAGTTGGTTGAAAAAAACAAAGATATCCCGGGAGTTTCTGAAACTACATGGAGTATTAATGTTGTTGAAGATCCAGAGATAAATGCCTTTGTCATGCCAGTAAGAATAAACCATGAAATGTCTTCAGGCTAAAGATGTAAACATTTACTATACTACACTAACAGCTTAATTGGGATCTTTGCAATATCTGAGTTATCATATTCAGTCATGAATTCTGTATTACAACTAAAAAATAATTTCCTTATTCTATCCTCTTGTGGCTTACTTGATTAGTATTTTTCTGCAGTTAACATGTCATTACAGTGTTTAATCAGTGAAGTGTCTCTAACGCTTCAGCTTTTGTTAAGTGTCCAACTTAATCCGTGTCACATTCCAATTAATTCAGAATCTCATCAACTTGTACTTGATGTTACCTTGTACAATGAAGCAGGACCCAATAATAAATACCAATTAGAATTTTATTCTAAAATATAGCTGAAAGTGATATTTAATTAAGGCCTCCTGGTGACAATAATGTGAACTTTATCAGTTATCATTAACCATCTACAAATGATGGAGTGTAGTGCATCAGTGCATAGGACAACATCATGAGGAAGGGGCATAGTTTCATTTTCAATTTCCCAGGTGTTGCTGAATTCCCAATCCTGGCATTGTTGGGCCTCTAAGTACAGCAGGTGCATCACTCAATATGAGTGAATATTGCAGGAAAGAGAGTTTCTTTGCATTACAATCTGATTTACTACCAAAAACAAGTACATAGCTCTTGTGATTTCAGCATGTTATTTAGATTGGATCTGCATATTGAGCAAAGATCTTTCTAAGGATATATCCTAGTATGGTGTTTTCATCTGGTAGCAATTAGAACATATACTTCAAAGTTTGAAATAATATTTTTGTACTGTAAAACTAACCTATATATATATAAAATTAATTGTTCATTAGGAACAAGCTAATGACCAATTTCCTGCAGACTATATCAGTTAAAAATAGAAGAATTAGTGATTTCCACGGCAAAAACTACTTAACAATGTGCGAGCTCCAATACAAATTCAGTGCTCAATTTGATCTGCATCCTTTCATCTCAATAATGTGTACCAGTGGCAAAACATTTACATTGGATGTTCCTTTTGTGCCAGTGGTTGTGTTTCTTCATCATTGATTTACTACCATAATCTGACCATATTTACAAGATGGAATTGACCTTGCCTGTACCATGTCATGATTTCAAACCGACTCAACACTGATGATTTTGAGAATGCACTGCCCTTAAAATGTAAAATGTTTTGACCAAAGAGAGAAAGAAAGAATGCTTCTAAACTAAATTATTCACCATTAAAAGAAAAATAATCAGCACATTGTGCACAATTTGTGTGGATGCTTTGTTATCTGGATGGGACAGGTTTACTGCTTTTTGCTTGTCCTTCTGTTGATATTTCTATCTTTACACTTGCTGCATATTAATTTTACTGAATTTATGTGCTATTTTAAATGATTAGGAAAGGAATCCTATGGAGTTTGCAGGAAGGAAGCCTGTGAAGCCATTCCCAGAACATGGTTATACTTAAGTCACATCAAGACACGATAATGTTTAACAAACATTGTTTTTCCTTGCAATTTGGTGGCTGCCTTCTTCCTCTGATTGCAGCAGCCTTCAGTCCAATTTCCTGCAGAGACTCAGAAGGCCACCTCTCCCATCCACCTGATCAGTGTTGTACATGCAATTAAAACAAGACTATGTTTCACCATGTGGTACTTTTGCTGCCACTATCTTCTTTTAAGTGTAGGGATTTATCTATTGCTTGATCTATTGTGATAGAGGAAAACCATTTATTGGTCAATAACTACAAGATGCTGTTGTATTGAGCAAGTAGTTTATTGCATTGTTAACAACTGGTTACAGCTTACCTTGATATGATAGACATTGTTGTGGAGAATAAGAGGAGTTCCTGAATATTAGGGCCTAAGCAGCTCTGGCCATAAGTCCTTACGATGTCATCATAGTCGATGGTGCTTCAGGCAGTCCTCAGCATTAATCCTTCAGACCCTTAGACACTGTATAACTATCAGGATGCCATTTCTGTGACACAGAGATCATTAAAAACTCAGGCAAATGATCTCTATTTTTTTTGCTTCAGTCTGACCAAATATATTCAGCAAATATTGAAATTGCACACTATAAGGCTGTACTTTAATCAGTAATATATTTTAGGCTTGAAAGCTAAGTGTCCCCGTTTTTGAATATGGGCTTCATGATTCCTTGCTCCTGTCTGCATTGATTCTGGTTGAGGTGGGCAGTGTGCAAATTTTGATGTGGCTACCTCATCTGCATGAATGTAGCACATAATTGATTGCATCCCACAGCCCCTTTGTGTTGCTGTGTTATATGTTATATATGTGTTCTATGTTCAATAAGAGGCCAGTCAGCATTCTGCAGACACCATATGGATTAACTAATCTGCTGCTCTGAAAGGAAGGCTTTTGCTTCTAAAAGGAAGCTGTATGGAATAATATTGATGTAATTTCAATTGTGGGAAGTTCACCATTAGCTCATGGTGTTCCAATGTGATGCATGTGAGGCTGAAGACATTTATTGGTGAGCTGAACACGAGGGATGATACCATTGTTTTGTAGATGACTAGGAGAACATTCAAACATCACACTCAGAAGGGAATGGGAGTAATGACCGGGAAGGTAAATACCTCCGATCTGTACCCGAAGACCTGACAGCAGTGTTACAAGTAATACAATTACCTCATGTGGTCAAGGTTAGTGAATGGATCTTCACATAGCACCTTCCCAGCAAACCAGTACCCTCCAACACTGCTCGAAGCTCACCATCCCCATCACTTACTCACCAGTAAGACCTTGGCACTTCCGACATGTACTCAACATCGGTAATATCATCTCATCCTCTCACATGCACACAAGTCTGCCTCCAGTTAGGTCGCACACACAAAGTGGTATTCAAACAGCGTGACCCCGATTTGAGAGTTGCTATGAAAATTAATTTTTAACTTCTGGATTTTCCGATGATATCATAAACATCAGAATTCCAGCTGTGCTTCCTAACCTGTGATTTGGAATTATGGTTCACCATTGTTACCTTGTAGAGCAATTTATTTTCTTCTTTCCTTTCCCACTCTCCCATCCACTTACCAAGTACCATAAGATTTGTTAGTTTTGGGCATTGTTTTGTGATGGGCAACATTAGCCATGAAACAATTGTATGATTAGAACAATTACATTGATGCATTTATTTGATCTCCAGTAGCAAGAAGTAATAAATCCTCAGGAGGTTATTATGGAGTTGGATAACTTATTTTCAGATTTTGAATACAGCCAAAATTTGGTGTACAATTAGTACAATGAGTATTGAGAGAATCATTCAGCATTAAATTCCATCCTTATCGTTTATCCTTTCCTAACTTTGTGTTGAAGAAGTGCGCCTTTCTAATGAAATTATTTTCTCTTTACATAGAATGGGCAGGTATTTGTTTTGACTGGGCTGTTCAAAGCTGTGGCAGATACTGATCAACTTGCATGTATTCTGGGTCATGAGATGGCTCATTGTCTCCTTGCTCATGGGGTGAGTACAATTCATTGCTCTCAATTGTTTGGAAAGAATAACATTTAAGAATTGAAATTATGATGCATTTACAAACTAACTAAGCTGTTAGATATACAAGTCATCAATTTCATCATTAGAATGGGAGAGCTTAGATATTCAATTTTAATCCACAATGAAAAATGAAGAAAAATAAAAAGATGCCATCTCTAGAAATTCAAATTCCACCACCTGCTGTAATAGGATTTAAACAGAGATCTTCACAGGGTAACCTGGGTGTCCAGGTTACTAGTGCAGCAAAAATACCAGGGTGCTATCACCTCCTCTCACATCACCAAGGCCATCTGTTGCCACTTCTCTGATACTGTTTAACTGGCCCTCTGATTGAACTCATTTCCTGTGCTATTGAAACATTTGTTCCCTTTAGGCATGACTTTCTAATGAATTTTCAAATAGGACTCCCATCTTGTCTCCTCTGTAAATGTGAGCTCATCCAAATATCTGCTTTCCCTGTCCTAATTTACCATTTAGCTCAATCATGTTGAACTATGTTGTTCCTCATGTGAAAGTACCTCGATTTTAAAATAAAATACAAAAGAAGTGCAGATGCTGGAAACCAGAAACAAAAACAGAAATTGCTGGAAAAGCTCAGCAGGTCTGGCAGCATCTGTGGAGAGAAATCAGAGTTAATATTTTGGGTCCCAGTGTCCCTCAAACCTGCTGAGATTTTCCAGCAATTTTTAATTTTAAAATGCTTGTTGTCAATTTCAAATGCCTCTACATCCTCACCTCTACCTAACTGTGATCTAATAGTTTGGCCTCTTACAGATGGCCAATTTTCATTTCATTTTCCATCCAGTTACTTTACAACCCTCCAGTCTCCACATGGAGCTTAACAATTTCAGAACGGTAACACATTCTCCACATTTGTTACCCACTTCCATATTCCCATGTCCTGTTCTGGAACGGTTGTTCCCAGCACTGGCAACTCATTTTTTAACTATTCACAGTTCCTATTAGCACCCATTCACCATTTATCTCTTTCTTGGCTTATCATCAGTAATCCTTTCTGCTTCTGCTTTTTTTCTCTCACCATTTCTGAGCGCTATCTCCATCTATTTGACTCACTCCTCCCCTTTTCGACAGCCTAAATACCATTGTTCCCCAGCTACTTTCAGTTCTGACAAAGGGTCACTGGACTTGAAACATTAATTCTGTTTCTCTCTCCACAGATACTGCCAGACCTGTTGAGTTTCTCCAGCACTTTCTGTTTTTGTTTCAGATCTTTAGCACCTGCAGTTCTTATCAGCCCACCATTAACAGCTTTATTCTCAGCTGTCTTGGCCCTATGGTCCGGAATACCCACCCTAAAACACTCTGCTTCTCCTTTAAAAAGCTGTTAACCACACACGTTTGACCAAGTGAGATAACAAGGTGTAGAGCTGGATGAACACAGCAGGGCAAGCAGCATCAGAGGAGCTTGGCCTGCTGTGTTCATCCAACTCTACACCTTGTTATCTCCGATTCTGCAGCATCTGCAATTCCTACTATCGTTTGACCAAGTTTTTGGTTACTCATCTGAATATTTCAATTGTGATTTATAGCCAAATTTTGCTCCATAACACTCCTTTAAAGGGACTTGCCATATTTACTACCTTAAAGATGCTCTATAAATACCTGCTGCAATATTTTAGTGAACACAAGTTTGAGGAACAGCACCTCATTTTGCGATTTGGCATTTGACAGCACTATGGACTCAACATTCAGTTCATCAATTTCAGATCATAACCTCTTACTCTCATTTTGTTTAATTTCCTTTGTACGTTTCAGTTTTTGCTTTTAGGCAGCAGCACATATACTGTAGCCACATTATATATTTCTTTGGTAATGGGACATGAAAATAAACATTCTCTTTGCCCCTGTGAAACTAACTCTTCTTGTAACTTTACCAAGTTCTGATGAAAGGTCATCAAACTTTCTAATGAAGAAAGGTGTTATTGTGTCCCTGCTGTCTCTTCCCTAGATTCTTCTAAAATATGTGTATGCAATCACTCCAGAGCAGAACTTTGTTTTTTTTTTATTTTGAGTTTATTTAACGTCTATCCTCAATTTGAAATATGGTTATAGTAATTCTTTCTAACCTGATGCTTCTCCTAGATAAATCTGAGTAAAAATAATTATATTTCTGCCATTTCATTATTGTTGTCTGTGATTTTATCTTTACTGCTTTTATTGTGCCTTTTGAATATTTAACTATGCTTTTTTGTATTATTTCATTATTTAGCTTCATAGTTCCTGTTTTGACTATTAGATTTTTTTCCCCTGTAGTTTTTTCATGTTCTCCCCTACCATGTTGTCCCCTACTGTCCATGCATTTAGTTGCTGCTGCTTTTGTAACTCTCAATTTCTTCCATTTGTGTTCATTGTCCCTGATGTCTCATTGGTTTTTATTTTTTCCTCTTGTTTTTGGCAGAACATAATTTTCTTGACCTCTGTTAAAAACTGTCTAAAACGTGTTCCATTGTTGTTGCACATCCTTGTTTGCAAATACTGCTGTTCACTAATTTCCCAAATTTTAGTAACAACCCCTCAAAATGAATATTTCTCCAATTTATTGACCTGGACTTTGTCATGTTAATTCTAATTATCATCTTAAAGTCTATTATACTATGGTCAATATTGTCTAGATGTTCACTTTCACTTCTCTTATTTGTTCTAGTTCATTTCCCATTGTCAGATCCCTTGTAGGACTCTTTACAGACCAAAAAGGAGACCTGTACATAACACACCTTCTGGACAGTTAATTTTGGTGCAATTGAAATTCCCCATCATAATTATTTTGTGCCTGTTCATTTGTGTTCGTGTTTCTTCCTCTATCTCATTTTCACTATTTGGTGGTCTATAGATTGCCACTATGAGTGTGATTGATCTTTTATCTATATTCACATGAATTCTATATCTGTCTTAATTATGACTCTTTCACATTTTCTACAGTTATATTATCTCTAATAAATACAACTGACTCAGGTCACCTTTGTCCCGTGCCTTTACTAAAGAGACAACACAGTGTGGAGCTGGAGGAACATAGCTCCGCACTGTGTTGTCTCTGAGTCCAACATCTGCATTTCTTGCTATCTACCTTTACTAAATATGTTACACTTGTAATGCTTAATTCCCAAGCCTAATTTTTCTGCAGCCATAACTCAGCAATCCCAACTACATTTGGTTCTCACAATGTATTACTGTTTCCAATCCCCCTGTGTTTATTACAAACACTGCACCTATTGCTATACAGATGATTTAAATCATCTTTCGTAACGGTTCTTGTCACTTCATTGCAATCAACTTATTACATTTCTTTCTATAAGTCTATTTCTTCCTAATTTATGTGCTCCTTTCGTATAATCTCCTGTGCTCTTCTTTCCTCTTTTGTTTCATAGTTTAGCTTTTTTCATTTCTTGTAGGTCCTTCCTCCTCTTGACTGCCTTTGCCCTACTTAATTTGTTTGGTGCAAGAATGATCACACTCTGATTCCCATTATGCAGCTGTATCATCCATGGCTAACTTGCTGCTACTTTATCTGAGTCAGAAACTGGAGTTCATGTCCCTCTCCAGGACTTGGACATCAGAAGACTCCCCAGTGTAGTACTGAGTGGATTGATTTGAAAATGGTTGTCAACTTGAGGTTTTATAATTAGATTGGTTTAATTTTTGACAGGGAAGACATTGTTAGATCAATGTCATTGGCTCTTGAATCATCACAAGTATGCTACAATTGACATAGATTTAATTTAGTTTTAGATGAGTTGTAGGATTCATTTACATCTTTAGGAGCAGGTTGGGGTTCATGGACAGTATAATGAGGCAGTGGAAAATCTGGATAATTGTAGTGTGGATAATGAGGTTCCATTACATATGCATAGATCTGACAGCATTGTGATGATATTTACATGCAGTTGACTCATTTTCAATTAAATGAATAACCACTGACTTACTAGGATGTTAGTCATGTGATCATGTTGTTGATTTCTAGGCGGAACATGCAAGTATAATTCAGCTCCTAGATTTTGTGTGCCTTGTTTTCTTGACACTCATTTGGGCTACGTTCCCACGGGATAGCCTTGCTGCTCTGGGACAGTGGATCCAAAAGAAACTGATTGAGGTGAGAATATTCCCTTGTTTGCTGTGAGTGTAGATTTTTAGATTAGGTTTGAAATCAGCAGATAGTAGTGAGCAGTGGTAAGCTGGAAAAGAACAATGCTTACCCTGTACAGATAAAAATCATAACTTGTTCAAAATGTAGCAGTTTTTTTTGTATTCCTGTCTCACTATACAGAAATTACAATAGCTGCCTACCAAAGTGCATCGACTCATGCTGGTCTATGATTCATGATGGCTCTGATTCTAGCAGTTTGCTATCATCTCAGTTGCCTGAGCAGTTTTGATAATCAGATAGCTAACATGTTTTTTCTTTCCCGGCGCATTGATGAAGTTGTCAGACCCCTGCTGTTTTTTGGGCTGGCATATGTTAACTCAGCACAAACTGAACTCTTCCAGTTCTGTATGCTTGATTTAGGTTGCTAGGTGCTGTATTTACTCACCATCATGTTGGGAACATTGCAGAACAACAAACCAGCTCGGCGAGCCAGCCAACCACAACATCCACAATCCGAGCTACAAATCTACGCTAAAACCTTAGACATTGTTTCTTTTATAAAGTATTAAATTAAGAGTGAAATGTTTTATTAAAGTTAGTTCTCAGCATGGTTAGTCAGAGAATATGCTATTATTAAAATCCTAATTGTTACAGTCAGACTGTCTTTAATATTTTCTAGGGTAGGACATGCAGTCCTGCTTCAAACCTGATTTTTCACTTTGTTAGGCAGCTTTTGTAATTTCTGTATAGTGAGGAACATAATGTTTCAACAGTGTAGGAATGCAAACAAAATCAGTTACCTGCTTTCTTGAAACCTTGCTCTGTGCTGATGGCTCAGCCTGACCCCAGTTTTTAGGGTTCCTTGCCCCTGCTATTACTGCCAACTGACAACCTGAACTAGTCTCATTGTTGGGAATGATTCCCACTTCTGCCCTGCTGGTTGACCTTACCTTCATCTTAATTCTGTGCCTGGTCCTTTGAAAATAATTCACTTCCCAAGTGATTGCGTTAACATTTTAAATTATTTTGAGGTACGTTTTACTTTGAATATCCTTTGACTTTTATATTTAAAGTGAAACTTATTTCAATGTAATAAAATTTGAAATGCCCCCATGCTCCTACAATTTACGTTTTATTCTTTCTCTCTTGCCATTGTTAAATAGGGATCATGTTGAAAGCAATGAGAGGGGAATGATGTGGGCATCGAGGGAAATTCTGAAAGGATTACGGAATGGGTACAGACAGCTTCATGCAATATCACCTGAGACACAAGCTGGATAATGACAGAGAGGCACTGGAGGCGGATAGTGCAAATAACACTTGCAAAGTATTGAAACTGGTTATGTAGTAGAGTTAGATATTGTTTTAGGAGGCATGAATCAGTGTCAGAAGCAATGTTGGCAGTGACATAAAAATGAGTCAACAATGACAAGTAACTTGTCAGATAGAAACGCAACCACTCTGTACTATAAACTAAATTTTCTTAAACCTGCCACCATAAGATGAAAATTGCAGACCTTTATTTTCAGATGGCTCATTATTTCACACCCAAAAGGAAATGGGAAAACAACAAAAGCAAAAATAAAATAGGCAAACAAGGGGAAAGGAAATTTTCAGCAAAGTTATAATAGAATGCAAAAGGATACAAAGAAATATCCAGACAAATGCATTGTACACAAAAAAGACATGGTGACATCTGATCTATGGTGATCAATATCATGGGAAATGTACTACTCATATGAGAAAACTTTTGTGATCTGTCACCCTGTGACATTCTGTTTGAGTAATGGAAAATATTGCCTGTTCAGTTTTTTTTCAAAATTGATACGCATGATGAAGGGAACTCGGTTAACTAAACCACCTCAAGTTATCTTTATTGAGAATGATTTTATTGAGGTACATTGATTTCTCAGGTCTGTATCTTTGAGGTGTGTGAAAAATGTAAATGACCCAGTTATTGATATTTCTGAGTTTTACATAAAACACTACGTTACACTTTTGCAATATAAAGCTTTACTCTTTGCTTTTATTTGAAATTTAACACTGGAGTAGTAGCAGCAGTTACGTGATCAAGACAAGTTTTGATTGAATGTAGCCTTGTGAAAAGTGGCGTCTTATATGACTCTGGAATCCACAGCCAGTATATTGTGTATTATTGTACATACATCTAACCCCCTGTAAAACCGCAGCATTTCTTTAGACGAAAGCTGGGATTCTACATCTTACTGCTCATGTTACTTTCTAGGGGGCTCTGTAACTAAATGCAGCTAACAGTCAAATGAACACCAAATTACAGCAGAGGGACTGATAACACACCTTGAAGTAAATCTAATAGCCATCATAGAGATGTGACTGCAGGATGACATTGGTTGGGACCTGAATATTGAAGGGTACAAGACGTTTTAGGAGTGATAGGAAGCTAGAGAAATGTGAAGGTCTGTCTGTGTTCAGTTAGTGATGGTATTAGCACAGTAGAAATGGATGACCTTCGTTCAGGAAATCAAGATGTAGAAGCAGTTTGGAGAGATGAGAAACAAAGGCAAGAAGTTATTTGTGGGAGTGGTGTACAGTTCTCCGAACTGAAACAACAGGGCAAGATGGAATATAAAGGATGAAATAGTGGGGGTTTTTCAGAAATGTACAGGAAAATTTTACGGGATTTTAATCAACGTATAGACTAGAAAAGTCAGAAGGGCAAAGGTGGTTAAATGAGGAGTTCATCGAGTGTTTTTGGAATAGTTTCCTAGAATTGCATGTTTTGGAATCAGCCAGACAACTAGCTATATTAGATATGGTGCTGTGCAATGAGACAAAATAAATTAGTGACCTCACAGTGAATGTACCTCTGGGTGGCAGTGGTCAGAAGATGATTGAAATTTAAATTCAGTTTGAGGGAGAGAAGAATGTGTCCAAAACTAGCATTTTAAACTTAATTGAGGGCATAAAAGGAGAATAAGCTAAAGTGAATTGGTAAATTAGCTTACAGGATGCGTCAATAGAGATGAAATGGCACATGTTTCTGAATCAGTACATTCCGATGAGAAAGAAAAATTCTAAGGGAAGGATCTCACTCTTATGGTTAATAAAAAAAGTTAAAGGTAGTATGAAATTTAAGGAAAATAACATAATTATGCAAAGATGGGAGGCGGGGAGAATAACTAAAAAATACTATGGAATGCAAGAGAAAGTTAATTAGACATAGAAAAACAGTAAGAGATTTTATATACATTTAAAGAAAAGTTGACAAAGTGAACAATGGTTCAAGAAAGTGAGTCTGGGGAATTAATGATGGAAATAAGGAGATGGCAGATTAATTGAATAGGTATTTTGCATCGGTCTTCATTGAGGAGGATACAAGTAATTCCAGAAATAACTGTAAATCAGGAAATAGAATGGCGCTTAAGAAACTTGCAATCACCAGTGAAGTGGTAGTGAGCAAATTGTTAGAGCTACAAGCTGTTAAGTCCTTGATTCCTTTTCGGCTTCATCTTAAGATCTTAAAAGAAATACTAGTGAGATTGTTAATGCTTTGGTTTTAATTTTCCAGAATTCCCTAAATTGAGGGAACATTCCATTAGATTGGAAAATAGAACATGTAACTTCCTTTTATTTGAAAAGGGCAGAATATTAATAACGAGCAAACTACAGGCCAGTAGGCTTAACATCAGTCATAAGGAAGATATTAGAGACTAATATTAAAGCTGTTACAGAAAAGTTCAAGGTAATCAGGCATAGTCAATATGGTTTTGTGACTAACTTACTGGAATTCTTTGAAAAATAATATGCTTTGGATGAAGGGGAACTGGTTGATGCATTGTACTCAGATATCCAGAAAGCATTTGATAAGATGCCATATCAAAACTTATTGTGGAAAATAAAATAGAGGATTGTGTTTTGGCATGGATAGAAGATTCCTTCCTGATAGCTAAAGGACAAAATAAGCATAAATAAGTATTTTTCTGGTTGGCAAGATGTAACCGGTGAGTGCTGTGGGTTCACTGTTGGGCTTCACCTGTTTATAATTTATATGTATATGACTGGGATGAAGGGCTCAAAGGTACAATTGCTAAATTCACTGATGACACAAAATTGGGAAAGCAGGTTGTGAAATGACATGAGTCTATAAGGGATAAAAATAGTTTAAGTGAGTGGTCAAGGATGTGGCACATGAACCACAATGTGGGGAAATGTGAAGCTGTCTATTTTGGCAGGAAGAACAAAACAGAAGCATGTTATCTAAACAGTCAGAGATTGCTGAATTCTGAGATGTAGAGTTGTTCTGCATCTGGATGTGCTAGTGCATGAATCAGAAAAGATTAGTATGCAGGTAATTAGGAAAGCTAATAAAATGTTATGTTTTAGTGTGAGGAGAGTTGAATACAAAAGTAAAGAGAGATTATGCTTCAATTGTACAGGGCATCGCTGAGACCACACCAAGGGTACTGAGTACAGTTTTGGTTCCCCTAATTAAGGAATGATATAAATGCATTAGAAACAGTCCACTGAAGGTCTTTACTGGTTTAATACCTGCAATGGTTGGGATGTTTTATGAGGAAAGGTTGTACAAGCTAAATTTGTATCTGGTAGAGTTTAGAAGAGTGAGTAAATTTACAGATCATGAGGGGTCTTGATAGAAAGTATGTGGAAGGATGTTATTTCTTGTAGGATAACCTAGAACTAGGCATCACTGTTTAAAAGTAAACAGTTAACAGTTGAGGCAAATGAGGAAATTTTCCATGCAAGAGTTCGAGAGTCTTTGGAACACTGTTCCTCAAAAGGCCGTGAACATTTTAAGGCAGTGGCAGATAGTTTGTTTTTTTTAATCTAAGCAAGGAAGTGAAAGGTTATCAGAGATGGGTGGAAATATGGACCTGTCACATCAATCATGATATTATTGAATGGCGAAGCAGGCTTGATTGTCCGAGTCTCCCATTCCTGCTCATAATTTGTATGCTCATACATAAGCATTTCCAACTTTTGACATAGTTGTTAAATATTAACTCTTGACTCTGAAAGTATATTTTAAAGCTATAAGAGAGTGAGATCAGAGAGTGGCACATGCATTGAATTACCTACTTTGATTTGTAGATTAGACTTGAAAAATTGGTCAGTGTTATCAATCACCAATAATATTAATACATTTATTTCCTACAGTACATGTTTGACAGACCGTACAGCCGGAAACTAGAGATTGAGGCTGATGAGGTTGGATTACGACTTGCTGCTAAGGTAACTTATACGCTCCAAAGCTTTCCGATCTTTGGTTTGCAGTCATGTATTGAGCAGTACAAAGTTTCATGTATAGTGAGTTGCAGACAATATAATTACCAAGTACTTTGCTCACCATTCTTTACAGAAAACCTGGTGAAAACATGCTTTAATTGTGTAATTAAAACTTACTGTTCTCATTTTTCTTCATCGTCCGTAGGAATTAGACTTCTTAGAATGGACTACAGAACAGAATGCTGAAACAGATATCAATTTTTATGTCTGTAATTTTTACCTCTTTATTAAGAATCTTAAATACTTCAAATTCATTGAGATGAAAGGAAAATTTTCTCAGGTTGGAAATCTGAAAGAAAAACATAAGTTTTAGAAATATAGAAAGTCAGAAAGAGATTAATATTTCACATAGAATGTAATACCTTTAAATATGGAGAGGCTGCTGATCAGAAATTTTGTGTTTTTGCAATTTTCCAACTTCAAATAACACTAATGCCGTTGAATAGTGCAGAGACACATCATGTCAGATGCTTTTTGGTACTTCACTCTGATATCCATTGTTCATGACTGACCTTAAACTGGCCACTATTACCAATGAGTTCATTCATGGAGACCACACACTTGAGTCTGATCTTGTCATTGTCCACTGGACAGATCAAATTTTCAATTTCTTACTATTTTAATTTTAAAGTTTTACAGTCATACAGCATGGAAATAGACCCTTTGGTCCAACTAGTCCTCACTGACTAAACTAAACTAATCCCACTTGCCTGTATTTGGCCCATATCCCTCCAAACCTTTCCTATTCATGTACTTATTCAAATGTGTTTTAAAAATTGTAACTGTACCCGAATCCACCACTTCCTCTGGCAATTAATTCCACACACTAACCACTTTGTGTAAAAAAAAAAAAAGTGGCCCCTCATATTCTTTTTAAATCTTTGTCCTCTCACCTTAAAAATATGACCCTTGGTTTTGAACTCCCCTACCCTAGGGAAGAAGTCCTTGTCATTCACTTTATCTGTGCCCCTCCTAATTTTAAAAACCTCTATAAGGTCACCCCTCAACCTCCTACACTCCAGTGAAAAAAGTCCCAGCCTATCCAGCCTATTTTTATAACTGAAACCCTCCATTCCCAACAACATCCTGGTAAATCCTTTCTGAACCCTCTCCAGTTTAGTAATATCTTTCCTATAACAGGGCAACCAGAACTGCATATAGTACTTCAAAAGAGGCCTCACTTACATACTGTACAACCTTAACATGACATCTCAACTCCTAAACTCAAAGGACTGAGCAATGAACACAAGCGTGCTAAATGCCTTTCTAACTTCCCTACCCACCTGTTACGCAAATTTCAAAGAATTATGTTCCTGAACTCCTAGGCCTCTCTGTTTTACAATACACACCAAGGCCCTACCATTAATTGTATAAACCCGCCTTGTATGTTTTAGCAAAATATACCTCACATTTATCCAATTAAACTCCACCTGCCACTCATCAGCGCATTGACCCAACTGATCAAGATCTTCTATAACCTTCTTCATGTCCACTATACCCCCAATTTTGGTGTCATCTACAAACTTATTAACCATGCCTCCATGAACCATGCCTTTCTCATCCAAATTGTTTATAGAAATGACAAACAAAAGTGGACCCAGTACCAATCCCTTTGGAACACTGCAGGTCACAGGTCTCCAGTCTGAAAAACGACCCTCCACCATCACCCTCTGGCTCCTACCGTCAAGCCAATTTTGTATCCAGCTGGCAAGGTCACCCTGAATTCCATGTGATCTAACTTTAGAAACATAGAAAATAGATGTAGAAGTAGGCCATTTGGCTCTTCAAGCCTGCATCACCATTCAATATGAATATGTCTGATCATGCAATCTCATTATCCCAGTTCCGCACTCTCCCTAAACCCCTTGATCCCTTTAGCTGCAAGTACCAGTCCAGCACCCTCTTGAATATATCTAATGAACTGGCCCCCACAGCTTCCTGTGGAAGAGAGTTCCACAGGTTCACAACTATGAGTGAAGAAATTCTTCCTCATCTCAGTCCTGAATGGCTTACCCCTTATTCTTAGACTGTGACCCCTGGTCCTGGACTTCCCCAAAATTGGGAACATTCTTCCCACATCTAGCCTGTCCAGTCCAATCAGGATTTTATATGTTTCCATGCGATCTCTCCACCTCTTCCTCCCGCCCCCCCAACTTCTAAATTCCAGTGAATACAAACCTAGTCGATTTTGAGTCTTTCCTCATATGTCAGTCCTGACTTCCTGGAATCAGTCTGATGAACCTTCGCTGGATTCCCTCAATAGTGATAATGTCCTTCCTCAGACTAGGAGACCAAAACTGGAAACAATACTCAAGGTGTGGCCTCACTAAGGCCTTGTATAACTGCAGCAAGACGTCCTTACTCCGATACTCAAATCTTTTCGCTATGTAGGCCAGGATGCCATTAGTTGCACCTCACCTTTTCCTGAACTGCCACCATTCAGATAATAATCTGCCTTCCTGTTTTTGCGACCAAGGTGGATCACCTCACATTAATCCACTTCATATTGCATTTGCCAAGTATTTACCCACTCAACCAGCCCATCCAAGTCACCCTGCAGTCTCTTAACATTCTTCTCATAGCACATACTGTCACCCAGCTTAGTGTCAGCTAAAAATTTGGAGATATCGCATCCAATTCCTTCATCCAAATCATTAATGTATATTGTGAACAGCTGGAGTCCCAGCACTGAACTCTGCAGCACCCAACTCCTCGCTGCCTACCACTCCGAAATGGACTCGTTTATTCCTACTGTCTGCTTCCTGTCTGCCAACCAGTTCTCAATCCATTCAATACATTACCTCTGCTACCATGAGCTTTAATTTTCCTTCCTAATCTCTTGTGTGGAACCTTGTCAAAAGCCTTTTGAAAGCCCAGATAACCAAAATCCACTGATTCACCCTTGTAGACTCCACTGGTTACATCCTCAAAACATTCCAGAAGATTTGTCAAGCGTGATTTCCCTTTAGTGAATACATGCTGACCAGGACGATTCTGTCACCGATTCTGTCAACTTTACTAATTAGTCTACTGTGCGGAACCTTATCAAAGGCTTTACTAAAGGCCAAGTAAACAATGTCTACTGCTCTGCCGTCATCAATTTTTTTGGTTACTTCCTGAAAAATCTCAGTCAAGTTTGTGAGACATGATTTCCCTCGCATAAAGCCATGCTGACTATCCCTAATGACTCTCCATATGCATGTATATCCTATCTTTCAGAATGACTTTCAAAACTTACCCACCACCGATATCAGACTCACAGGTCTGTAGTGTGTAGGCTTCTCCTTAGCATTAACACAACATTAGCAACCCTTCAGACCTCCAGCACCGCACCTGTGGTTATAGATGAAACAAATATTTCTGCTAGCACCCCTGCAAATTCCTCCCTAACTTCCCACAATGTCCCAGAGATTTATGTTTTCTAAGACTTCCAGCACCTCCTGTTCTATAACGTGAACTGTTTTCAAAACATCAATATTTATTTCCCCAAGTTCTCTAGCCTTTATTTCTGTCTCAACAGTAAAAATTGACTCAAAATGCTTATTTAATATCTCTCCAGTCTCCTAAGGTTCAACACAAAGACGACCTCATTTATCTTTAAGGAGCCCTATTCTCTTTCTTGTTGCTCTTTTGCTCTTAATGTACTTGTAGAATCTCTTCAGATTATCCTTGACCTTATCTGCCAAGGCTATCTCACATCACCTCTTTGCCTTCCTGATTTCCCTCTTAAGAATGCCCCTACACTCTTTACAATCTTCAGTGGATTAATTTGATCCCAGTTGTCTATATCTAATATATGATTCTTTCTTATTCTTGACTAGAACCTCAATATCTTTATTTATCCATTGTTCCCTACTCTTACCAGCCTTACCTTTCTCTCTAACAGGAACATAATGCCTCTGAACTCTTGTTATCACACTTCTGAAAGCCTCCCACTTGTCAATCATCCCTTTATCTGCTAACAGTCTACTCCCAATCAACTTTTGAAAGTTCTTGTCTCATTCCATTAAAATTTGCTTTACTCCAATTAAGAACTTTGACATTTATGGAAGGCTTATCCTTTTCCATAACTATTTTAAGACTAATAGAATTATGATCATTAGTCCCAAAATGTTCTCCAAATAACACTTCAGTCACTTGCCTGTCTTATTTCCCAAGAGAAGGTCAAGTTTTATTCCTCTCTTGTAGGAATATTTACATATTGATAACGAAAGTTTTCTTGAACACATTTGACAAATTCTTCACCATCCAAACCTTTGACATGAGAGCAGTTCCAGTCAATGTTTGGAAAATTAATATCCCCTACTATTGCAACCCTATTATTCTTACATATATTGAGATCTCTCTACATATTTGCTCCTCAATTTCCCTCTAACTACTGGGGGACCTGTAGTACAATCCCATCAAGGTGATCATCCCTTTCTTGTTTCTGATTTCTACCCACGTGTTTTCACTAGACGACCCCTCAATATATCCTCTCTAATTACAGTAGTAGTGTTTTCCTTAATCAAAAATGCCACCCTACCCCAGTGCAGGCATTTAAAATGTTAGTTCTGAACATAGTTTAGATAAATAGTTCAAGTTAAAGCCTTAGAAAAATCCGAAGGTCTGTAATTCTACATGAAGAAAATTACTTGCATTTAAAAAATTAAGGTCACTCAATCTTACAGCTGGTAAAGATGAAAGAAAACCTGAAGTTCTAGTTCCAATCACCAATCTGTGCTAAATTAATTGATTGTAGTCAGTTGGTAGCATGTTAGCAATTGTGGGTTGGGCATAGGGTTAAAAGCAACAATAATTTCTATACCCAATTGTTACCCAGTGACTGTGGCTGAAAATCTGATCGCAGCCCTCTTGTAGCGCAGTGGTAGTTTCCATATCCTTGGACTGGGAGACCCAGATTCAAGTCTCACCTGCTCCAGAGGTGTGTAATGACATCTTTGAAC